ATTACTCTGATCAAATTAGCCACCTATTGGTTGTTATCAGGAAATTATAATCTTGAGAAAAGTATACAGGAACTACTTAATTTACCAAATAGCAGTATAGTATACTAGTAAGTCTAGTTTGGAAATCAAGTTTCAACAAGTAGAACATATCCATTACACACCAAATTCAAGACAGCACTCATTCTCCAATGAATTCAATAACCTTTCAAGGGAAAAAAAAATAAGTAAAAAGGAAAATGTGAGCTCTTATTTAGGAATGTGATGAAACACATTTTGCAAATTCATGAGGAAACACACCTGGTTACACTTGAAAGTTTTCAAAATGCCTCCATTTAGCATATTTCACTTTAAAATATCCACAGTATGTTTAGAACCCTCTAATTACTTAAGACAATTTAGGAGTTTTTATATGCATGAGATGAGAGCCTGCCAGACTGGAACATCAAAATGATCTAGGAAGTTCTCCATTTTACTATTTATCATTTCTTCCTCACATAATACATTGGCTTGTAACAATAGTTTTCAATTTAGAGTTCCCCATTCTCTATGAAGAACATTTTAATTTTGTGCTTTTATTTAGATGGTTTATATTAATATATGCATATTCCAGGCCACATGAATGTTCATCTTATTATCAAATATTTCTATGCAATGTCAGTAGTTTCTACTTGTACTTGTGCGTTTTCCTTATTCAGAAGAAGGGAATTTTGTGGCTATTTTAAAACCAATTTTTTATTGAAAAATATAATGCAAATATGGAACACTGTATAAAGCAAACATATAGTAATGAACGCTCATTTCATGACTAGTTTGCCAAAATTTAAACTCCCTTTTTATATCAGCTTGGACATACTGTTCTTTTTTGTAACCTTTTTGTCATTTCAAGGATTTTTTTCTATTCATTCAAGGACACATCTTAATTATCAGCAACACTGTTTTATCCAATTTGCAACATTTTGTGAATAATATATTGCTTTGTAACGTTATGGCTATCTTTTTGTATGTTATCTTTTTTAGATAGTCTAAAGACCTGCTTTAAAGTTTGAACTATCTAACAAGATATGTTTGGTTCTGAAATTTTAAAAAGGAGAATGCTCTAAAATAGCTATATCCTACTTTTGGGCAATCATTTTCTTGCATTTTAAAAACAGCTTTATCATCCAAGGTTGCGTCCCAAATAAACCATAAGTTTTTTGCCTGTTTTTAAAAATATGTATTTTAAATGTCTTTTGGTCTACAGGTTTTCTTTCCATTCTTTTTTCCCCCAGTGCAATTAATTTATTAAAGAAAAGGGCTTTGCTTTTTGTTGGTGTTGTTTTGTTCCATAGCCAGATTTTGCTAAGTTTATCCAGATGGTAGGTTTAAAATATTTCTCTGTTCTCTGTATTTCCTGTTAAATTGCTAGTTTATGGGCTTGATCACATCAGCTTGCAATTTGCTATATTTTTTTGCAAGACCATTCCATAGGTAATGGCGCATTCTTCTTTCATAAATGCTACATGGCAGGTTCTCTTTGTGACGTTAGTGATGTTGGTGCTTACTGTCTAGATCAGCAGCCTTTTCCATTATACCACACCCCCAGAGTCTTTAGACATCATTTTCCTAATCACCCCCTCCCTTTGTGAAATCGTCTTTTGCCAAACTTGGAAAGCCATTATTTCTTCAAATATTTTTCAGTACCATACTCTTTTTTCCTTTCCTTGTGGGACTCTCACGACACAAATGCTAGATCTTTTTTGTTCTCCATTCCTGAGGGATTATTTTTCCAATCATTTTCTCCCCTGTTTTCAGGTTGGGTAATTTCTACTGGGGTATCTTCAAGTTCACTAACTCTCTCCTCTTTCATCTCCATCCTCCCATTGAGTCTTTTAATCATTTTTAAATGTATAGTTCAGTATGACCTATAGTTTGTTTAGAAGTGTGTAGTTTAATCTCCAACTATTTGGGTTTTTACAAATATCTTTTTGTTATTGATTCTTGGTTTAATTCCCTTGTGGGCAGAGAAAATATTTTGTTATAAATTCAGTCACTTAGAATTTGCTGAGGTTGTTTTATGATAGAATATGATAGGATATGGTCCATTTTGGTGAATATTCCATGTGTGTTTGAAAAGAAGGCAAGTTCTCTAGTTATTGGGTGGAATGTTTTACAAATGTCAATTAAGACAAATTAGTTGATAGAATTGTTCGGGTCTTCTATGGCAATAGTTTCCAAATTTTCCTGCTCTCTGTTGAAATCACCGTGTATCTTCCAAAGATATTAATAGAGATTGTGATTTAATGTCTGGGGTGTAGCCTGTTCTTTGGAATTATTCAGAGATTCCCAGGTGATTCTAACGTGCAGGCAAGCTTAGGACCTGGGTTCTGTATCCTTACTGATTTTCTGTAAATTGTTTTACGAATTACAGAGAGGGGAATGACGAACTTTCCAACTCTGGCTGTGGGTTAGTTTCTCATTTCACTTCTATCAGTTTTTGCTTCAGTGCTATTTTGTGGCACTGTTAGGATTTTGCATCTTCCTAATGAACTGACCCCTTTATCTTGTTTTCATATGCATTTCCCTGATTACTAGTGAAGGCAAACGTTTAAAAATCTTGCTGGTCATTTAGTTTTCCTCTTCTGTGAGTTGTCTATTTATGTTATTTGAACTTTTTTCATCTTGAATTGTCACAATTCTTTATATTTTTAGAGCTTTACTATATTCTCCCTGCATGTAGCTTGTTTTTAACTTGATTTAAAATGTCTTCTCTTTTGTTTCTAAAACTTGTAAATCTTCTGTTTATAAAACAATTAAAATTTAAAATCTTTTCCTTAATGAATGGTGCTATTTTGTCTGGTTTAACAAATTCTTCCCTACAGTGATGTCATAAAGACATCGGTTTTTTCTAAAAATTTAGGGTTTTGTTTTTTGCTTTTCACATTTACTTCATTTGGAATTTAGTTTTATTATGATGTGAGATCAGAATCTAATTTCATATTTTTTATACAAATAGGAAATTTAAAACCACCATAGTTTGACTTTTCTATAGCCAATTAACAAAGTTATTGTGCCAATTACACTCTCAATGTAATGAATAATAGTTCTTTCCCACAACGTCACCAGCACTTATTCCTTACCCAGACACCTTTATGGTATATCAACTTCCAGGTACTGGTACTCTCCTTTCTAATTTTCCTCTTGTCTGTTCTTGGGTCAATACCACATTTTTAAAAGTTGCTTTTAAAATAGAATTATTATATGATTTAGCAGTTCCCCTTCAGGATATATATCCAAAAGAATTGAAAGCAGAGTTTCAAAGAGATATTTGCACACACTGTGTTCCTAGCAGCATTCATTATAGCTAAAAGGTGGAAGCAACCCAAGTGTCCATTGATGGATGAATGGCTAAACAAAATCTGGTATATACATAAAGTGGAATAATATTCAGCCTTAAAAAGGAAGGAAATTCTGACACATGCTACAACATGGATTAAACTTGAGGATATTATGCTAAGTGAAGCAAGTTAGCTACAAAAAGATATACTGTATGATTCCACTTACGTGAGGTATCTAAAGTAGTCAGATTGATAGAGACAGAAAGAATGGTGGTTGCCAACGGCTGAGGGTAGAGGTAAATGGGGAATTGTTGTTTCATGGGTATAGAGTTTCAGTTTTGCAAGATGAAGAGTTCTGGAGATTGGCTGCACAACAATGTAAATGTACTTAACACTACTGAACAGTACACTTCAAGATGGTTAAGACGATAAATCTTTTTTATGTCTATTTTACCCTATTTAAAACAAACAAAAAAATGTTTTTCTAGCAAAAAAACGTTGCTTTTAAAAGTTCTCTTAGTCTTTGGTGTTCTGCATTCACCACGATGTGTCCAGGTGTGGAATTTTTTACTTCAATCATGCTCAAGAATAAGTCCTTCTTGAATCTGAGAAGTCGAATATTCCACAATTCTGAAAAGTTCTTAGTTATTACTCTTTGAATACTGCCCATATCCATTCTCTCGTCTCTCTTTTTGACACTCCTATTAGATTTATATTGGATCTTTCTTTCATTTATTTAGCTCCTGCAATGCATTGTAGTAAATTTCCTCAAGTTGTGTATTGTAGTTACCAGCCAAATGTACAGTTCTCAAACACTGAATGGAAGATTTTTTAAAATGCATTCTTTAAAAAGATTAAGGCTTTATGTCAGCAAACTGTGCCCGAAGTCAAAAGTGAAGAAACAAGTAGACATAAGGTTCATCTCTACAACTCAGAAGAATGTGCCAAAGCCAAAACAATAAGGTGTTACTATGTTGTACTCAACCAATATCAAAAACAAGCAGGATTCTGTTTTGTATCAAGCCCGATTACATTATATCCGAAAGCCTGGCAACATAGCATTTCACACTGCGTGTGTGACCTTGAGCAAGACATTTATCTTAAGCTGCAGTTTCTTTCTGTGGGTTTCTGTGAGGATCAAATGGGATAAGGTGAGCGAAAGCGCTATATATCAAAGTACTATTAAGGTATTTTCTCAATTCTAAAATATTACTAAACGCTCAGGTGCACCATGGATTTAATAGTTTGGGGAGGATGCAGAGAGGAACAATCCACTAGAGGTACATTTATGGCTTTCCGATTTGAGAAATTAAAAAATATGGAAAAGTATGCTTTTACAATTGAGGAACCGCAGTATGGCAATGGCTTTCTTTCTCAATGTCCGTAAATGCCCTCTTCTTGAATTTGAATGATTTCTCTCGCCCCCAGCGTTTGGTTTTGCTAACCTCCCTCCTGACAGCTGTCAGAATTTCCACAGTAAATTTCTGACCCCAATTTTCTGGGTCCTGTGAGACTGAGGAGCTACTTCGCTCGGACTGGCTTTTACGCGCTTCCAGTAGCTTCTGCACTGTCATTGGCTGTTGCTCTTCCCGGACCCGCCCACAAGGATCTCAATCCTCATTGGACGCCAATGTCCTTTTGTTAGGGCAAAAGGTGGATCCCGGAGCTTTGACAGAGGACGATTGGGGCGTCGGGCAGCTCATGCGCAGGCGTGCCTTCTTGAGAGGGGATTGGCGGGCGACTGGGCGGGACTCCCTTCCCGGCGCACGCTCTGTGGGCGGACAGGGCGGAGCTATCGGCGTCCGTTGGTCCAAGTGTCCCGGCCTGAGGCATCCTCCCGAACCCTCCCCCTCCCGGCGCCTCGAACGGCAGGTGAGGCCGTCTTGAGCCGCGGAGGGCCTGGCCCCAGGCGACTGGAGTTGGGGCCTCGGTACCGCCGAGGGCCTGGAGGGCGGGGCGGGCTGGATGCGGCCCGGGGCACCGGGGCTCCGGGAGAGCGGCCCCGGGCCTGGGCGTTTGGTGGGCGGCTGAGGCCTGCTCCCTGCAGAACCCCTGCGCAACCTCTTTTTCTCATCGTCTCCTCGTTATTGCGCCCAGAGGGTCCCGCGGCTCCTGACTCGGACATCCTCCACCTCCTCCCGCTTCTCCTGGGCCGAAGGCCGCTGTCCAGCCCCGCGCCCTGAGATGGGACTGCGGGAGGGGCGTTGGGGTAGGCTGGGACCTGGCTCGCCCGGACTTGCCCGTGGCTGCTCTGCCCAGAGCCCGGGAGATGGGGGGATTGGACGCCGAGGCGGGAAGGGAGGCGAGTGAGCGGTAAAATGAGGGCTGGCGACATCCAGGCGCTGAAAGCAGCTCCCGGGTTAGTTTCCTCATGGGCTTCTCTCAAGGGTCCTGCTGAACAAGTTTTGGGGAGTTAAGATTGGAAAGGAGAAAGAGGATACATTCCTGAAAGGCAGGACTTTTGTTATACAGTTTTCACCGATTCCAGTACTATGACGTAACAATGTTAAGGATGCTATGCTATGCTCCCAACACTGTATCTGTACCTGAGAATCCAGAGCTATGCCTGTATATTCTGTGCCTGTACTCATCGATTGACATTACATCGATTAACTCATTACAGCTAACCACTCTGGGGATCTAGCTTCTGTTCAAAGCCTCATTTGGCCAAACAGTTCCTTAATCTTTTGGAATTTGAAACTGGATATGTCTAACCAGAACAGATCAGAACTTGAACGGAGCTAAAACCAACCATGTTGAAAGCTGATGCAGCTTTAAGGGAATGAAATTTATCCTCAGTTGCTTAGTTAGTAGAAATATCAAAGGAATTTGACATTAAGGGTTGCAAAATGTTTAGCAAACTTAGAGCCATTTTAAAGTTTCTTCCATTGTATGATGGAAAAAACTAAAGTTAGACCTGGGTTCAAATTCTTGGTACAAACATTGGCTGTGAAATTTAAGGCAAGGTACATATTCTTTCTGAGATAGTGTCTACATCTGTAAATTGCAACGTCCTTCTGTTGATTTCTGAACTAATATATGTAAAACATTTAGGATATTAATGGACAGTGACATCATTTCAGTAGTCTTACCAGTTCACTAGTAAGTGGATGACACGATGAAAATGACTTTTAGATGCAGAAAAGTTGGGTGGTTGAGGTTAGACAGATATCAGGAAAATGTCTCAAAATCTCAGGTCTCAGGTGTGAGCCTACCTGTGGTTGCATGGTGGAAAAAACTAGACTGGGACATTGGCTGTAGTCTTGGCTCTGTAGTTAAAACTACTGGGATCTTGAGTAAGCCGTTATCATCTTTGGCCTTGGTTTGTTTATTTGTAAAATAAGGCAGCTGGACCAGATGGTTTTTCTAAAATTCTTTTCCTGGCCTGAATTAGAGCTAAAACGGGGAGAAGATAATAGCTAACATTATTGAATACCTACTATGTACTAGGTATGTTGCAAACAGATCATATATATATCAACTCATTAAATTCTCACAACAAAACTATGACGTACATGCTGTTCTCATCCTCATTTTACAGATGAGGAAACCGAGGCTGAGATATTAACCTTGCCCAAGGCTCGAGAGCTTATAAATAGCAGAGCTAGGATTTGAATCCAGGTAATCTAAATTCTTGTTCTTAATCACTGTGCTTAAACTGCTTCTTGAGAGAAGGATGTTGTACCATTCAGGATAGTACAAAAGAAGGTAGAGAGAAATTTGGTAAAATTATAGTCTTTGGTCACAGTTAGGTGTGTGGGCATGGAAAGTGGGTCTGTCCTAATGCTTGCCACACTTCCTGGTCCTTGTTCTCTCCATACCTTCTGCTTCCTGGACTTAAATTATCAAAATTCTAGATTTTCTTCCACTGACCAAGACTAGATGAAGGTAGGCGTCAAAATTTACTGTGATTTTTGAGAAAAGTTTTTGAGATTTGACCTAGGCTTAGGTGAGAGTTGAAGAATCTTAGAGAACCATATCCATTTCGGAGCTAAGGCAGATTTAGGATAAACAGAACAGCCTTAGCACCCCACATTCATTTCAGCGTCCCTGTACTTGAGGTACTTTGGTCTAGGTTCTCTCTCTTTTCATGGCAGATTTGCATTTATGTGTAGGAGCAGGAGCTGAAAATGAACTCTTAAGAGCACATCTGATATGGAATTTGATTGATATGATAGCAACTATAGATTGAAAAAAAGGATTTTATAGTTAAACAACTCAGTCTTGTATTGAGTACATATTATGACATAGTACCGTGCTAATGTAGACATGAAGTTTGAAGATTGGTCCTATTTTGAAAGAAAATAAAATCCATGGTTAAAATACTTCGATATAAAGAGCTCAACAAACCTTTTAATCCCATACATGAAATAAATCAGTTTATTACTCTAAATTTACTGAAAGACTTTGAATATATACAAGAGTAGCGATTTGAGGCCAGTCTAGTTAATCACATCACAATAAGAGGAAATTGCTATGTGTCTCTTTTGTTGCTGTACAGAGGCGGCCGGTAATGCTCTGGTCTGCTTTATTAAAGAGCAGTGCCCTTTTGCACAGGGCTGCCATGTATGCTTGGGCAGGTTCTGCACTGTGCAACCCTCAGGGTGCACTCTTTCCAAGACCATGATGTGAGTGGTGCTCTCGGGTTGTGTGGTATATCCTGTTGCACTGTCCTCGTGCCTGGCTTTTGTGCTCTTGCCTCCACTCCCATCTTGAAGGTGTTTTTCTAAGAGTAATTTTTCCTCTATAAAAGCCCCCTCCATCCTGTTTTTCTGTGTTTTTTTCCTTCATTTTTTCAGATGAAGTCAAACTTGATAAGCCATGCATAGATTTTCTATTGTTTGGGTTACAGTGGCCAAAACTTCAGAAACTGGCTTCTTTTTCTTTACCTTCTACGCTAGTCAGTCTGGTTTTGTAGAAGACTTTTTGGTTTAATTTTAGTATAAGACTGAAACATAAGCAAAAAGACGTATACCCCATCCCTGTACTATATCTGATTTCAAAATCAGGTGCATTGATTTCATGATTATCTGTTGCTTTGGCTTGTCTATCTTATAACTCTACAATTTTGTTTCAGCTGTATTCTCAAAAACACTAAATACTGGAAATTTGAAGCACTTTTTATATATTATTTAGCAGGAGAAGTAGCCAAGTTTCAGTCTGCTGTTGCTCAGTACTCCCATGATCACTTACTTTTGCTTTTGGCTGTTGCCTCTGTCATCCCTCTCAGACCTTCTTTAACCAGAACAGTGGATGAAATGGTGTGAAAAGTGCTCTTTTCTCAGGGAAGTGCCAAATAAAGTTTTCACTGCTAACACTCTTCCTTTTCAATTATAAAGAGACACGTTGATGGAATGGAGAGAGTAATTTTTGAAGTATGGTCTTCACGTACTACAATAGGTTGAATAACTTAAAAACTTTTGAAAAGATTTTTAGTAATCAGCCTACTTGAATTTATATAGATGTACTAATATACATATACTTTCTCTGAAATACAAAGAACTGGAAAATTAAAACCATGTGAAAAAGATGTGAGGGAGAGCAGCTTTAATGCTGGATAAGTGGGAAAATGCTAGAAGACTTGGAGTAGATTGATTAAGCATTAAGTTAATTTTATACCACTTATAAGTAGTTAATTCTTTAATAATGCTATGTAAAGGAGGTTTAATATCTTTCAGTTTTAGACTAATGAGTGATCTTTTGAGGGGTGGTTTAAACTGAGCATTCTGTTTCCAGGATTGTGGTAGTATCTGAAGTGTTACACAACTAACTAAAGCTGTGAGGAAATGTACAACACGCTGATAACTCTTGATGGTGATTCTAGTTCTAGTATGTAGATTTCCTTATTCAATAGGTTTGGGTCCCACTGTTTAGCATATGGAGGCATAAGAACGCCTTGGGTATAGTCTGTGCTCAGTGAATACTTGTTGAAAGAGTAACATTGACAGGTCTAAACTGCTTCTGTGAGTAGATTGGTTAACAAATCTGTTTTCAGTAATAATCTGGTAGCTTTATTTAATAAATTTTGAGCACATTAAATGTACAATGAATGTTAGCAGTAGAGCAGAACATGTTTCACAGGAATTTTGTGCTCTAACATTTTGGAGCCTTTTATACAGACAATAAAATGTTAATATTTATATACGTATTTACATCCTAGTTAATCTGTTTTAATCATAACCAAGAGGTGACAAGTGGACATTTTTCATTTATTCCATGTTAGTGTTTCAGATACCTGGTATTTTTCTTTTGAACTTTATGTATTAAAAAGTATTACACAGTAAATGTAAAACAATACCTTAATAAGTATTTTTAAATAGATTTGTCTTCATCCCTACCACAATCCCTAATATGAGTTTTTTCCATTTTGCTGTGTTTTATTTATCCATACTTATGTATACTTTACATAATTTTCATCATCCATGTGATTATAGTCATCACAGTTATTTTTAATAGTCACTCGATTAGAAACTGCAACTATAATTAACCAGACAGACTCTAAATAAACAGTTTATATTGTTTCCATTTTAGTGGGTTATAAATAGGTTGAAGTGAAGATTTTTTATGTATATAATTTTTTCCTCCTTTGTAATTTTCCATAGGCTAAATTTCCAAGACTAAAATTAGTTACTAAAAAATATTTAAATGTTTTTATGAATCTCGTTTATTACCATACTGCTTTCCAAAAAGATTACATATTTAAAATTTGTGTCCAATATTTGGTATTTGTTTTTGCATAACTTTGCTAGCATTAATCATAGTCTTTTAAAAAGTAATAAATGTAAGTGGTGTTTTACTGTGTATTTTTTTGATTACCAAGAAAGTCATCATTTCCTCGTGTTTAGTTAATACTTGTCTTTGTAAACTATTTGTCCATATCCTTTGCATATTTACCCATTGAGTATTTACTTTAGTCGTAGAAACAGTAAAGCATGTGCAAAGGGTCCTACTGGGCCACATAATTTTCTTTTGAAAAACAAGCTTATATTTTATTACTGTATGTGTTTTTGTTTCTTTTTCTTATTGCAGACCATTCATCAAGGATTTTCTGTCCAAGGCCCAAAAGTTTGTTACCCAAGATGATGAATGCTGACATGGATGGTATGTTCTTTATTTCCCTTTTTTCATGTTCCTGGTTTTGTGAATATTAAGCACAAAATATTTTGTGCTTTATTAAGAATGGAAAGACAGAAAAGCAATAATTAGAAGATGTGGATCTTGGCTCATTTACTTATTTATATCCCATCTAGTTCTAGAAGGGATTTAAGGCAGCTTTCATTCCTTAACTGTGAGATGTTGCAACACATTTTCTCTTCACCTTGGTGTCCTTATCTGCAGTATGGGGATGTGAGTTTTTACTTCACAGGGCTCTTGTGTAAGTAAGATGATGAATGTAAGACAGTTTGCAGATCAAGCGCTACACTACACAAATGGTACCTAATGCTAATTAACAGTAAATTCAAACCTTTTTATTACAGCAGTTGATGCTGAAAATCAGGTGGAACTGGAGGAAAAAACACGACTTATTAATCAAGTGTTGGAACTCCAACATACACTTGAAGGTTAGCTTGCATTTTGTAGTTTTCTTGAATAACATCCAATTAATTAAAACTGTAAGTATTTACATTGCTAAATTTTGTGTGTGCAGTTTTAAAAAGTATAAACTTTAAAGTCCATTTCACTAGGGTTTTTTTTCCCCTCCTGCCTGTAGCTTTGGCTGGTGATTTTAAAGAGCAGCTAGGCTCCAATAAGGAAGTCAAATCGTGTTCTTATGCTTCCTTCTTTAAGGTCTCACAGAATGCTATTCGTACATGAGAGCCCCTTTTAAGGCCCCGTATTGTGTTAGTAAGTCCACTTTAATAAAGCTCATACCAAAGAACAATGCATTAGCCTCTGAGAGTAAAAGAGATTGATCTGAGTTTTTTCATTTTCTAAATGTCTTGCATAAAATTAATACTACCACTGAAACATCTTTTGGTTTTCATTGAAATTAAGAGGTTATGTTTTTTGCTTTTTGACACCAGAGTGTCATGTCACTCCAGTGGCTTCCCATTTCACAGTTACAAAAACCAGGTTACTCTCTGGAAGTCGACTACTTCCCTTTGACCTTTCAGAGTGACGTCACAGGCACCATCTCATACATTCCCCCTCAGACACTCCGACCTCCTTGCTGTCTGTCAGCATGCTTCCACTCCAGGTCGTAGCAGTTGCTGTTCTCCTCTGCTTCAGCTGTTTTCCCTTAGTTACTTATCTAGATGGCGCATTCTCTCACTTCTTTTTGGTCTCTGGTTAGATTCCCTTTATCAAAATGGCTCTGACTATTCTGTATAAAAGGACAACTTCCCTTTTGCTTCCTGTGACCCTTCCCTTTCTTGCTTTTTCTCCTGACCCTCACTCCAAGCCCCTAAATGCACGTGTGCCCACGTGCACATTAGACTGTCAACTCTGTAAGGACAGGCACCTTTCTTGTTTGCTACTGTTGCCTCTGGAACAGTGCCTGGCTCTTACAAGGCATCCAGTACTTAATTGTTAAATGAATTAATGGAGGTAATGTTTTATTTGATCATTAAGAACTGTGTCTTTTGACTTTCACGCTAATGTAGAAATACAAAATGATCAATTGCTTAGAAACTGTCTATATCCAGTATATGAATTCAGTTGTGTTCACCTACCGCATTTTCGTAAGCATTTCTAGTGAACACATTATGGTTTTACGTTGATAAGACATGAAACAAGATTCACATTTTAAAAACAAAGTCCATATTTTTTTTAAATAACCATTTTAAGAATTAACTACTCTACATAAATGCTATTTACAAAGCATAAATATTTCACATTTAGTCCAATGTGAAATCTCTCTTTAGGAATTTTCAGTAAATTTTCAGTTTACTTTGCTTACCTTAACTTCTAAAGTAATCTGAATTTAAAAACAGAAAATTTAAGGATTGTGTATCTCTTTAATGAATGAATCTTAATAAGCGTTTTATAATATGGAGTCATTGCCACCATTTTATTGATAATAGGCTTTTTTATTTTTAATATAGATCTTTCTGCAAGAGTAGATGCAGTTAAGGAAGAAAATCTGAAGCTAAAATCAGAAAACCAAGTTCTTGGACAATATATAGAAAACCTCATGTCAGCTTCTAGCGTTTTTCAAACAACTGACACAAAAAGCAAAAGAAAATAAGGGATTGATATCCCTTCTGTTTTATGGAATTGCTGCTGATCTTTTTTTCTTTAAACTTGGATAGATTCCAAAAGTTATAGTTCTTTTGTTTATGGCTTCATTGAATATTTATGAAGATAATGTCAGATCTAGGCAAAATTAAGAGCATTAACAGAGGACTTCCATGAGTTTGTGTATTATGTTAGTCTATGAAAACGTGCAAATGTATTGTAGAGACTTTATAATTAGAAATGCACATATTTACGAAACTTGAAAATGTTTTATTGAATTTGCATTGATTTATAGGTTTAGCACTGTCTTTTATTATAGGCATAGTACGAGATACAAGGAAATAACCACCATATTGTGAAAAAGTGACCAAAATCATGTACTAAATGCACAGCTTTATGTACCCTGTCCACCGTCGTGTGCCTCTTCTCCATTTGCTTCTTCCCATTTTCCTTCCTCTAGGGAAAAAATTGGTTTCACGTTTGTAAAAGTGATTTCACTAGTTAATCACCTTTGAGAGTAACCTGAACTCTAATAGTTGAAACTTAACCAAAATAAGATACTTTCTCAGTTAGGCCTTGTTGTTATATTTAGTCATAAGATAGGGTTGCTGGTTTCTCTTTAATCAGTTGAAAACAGAGGCTATAAAAATGATTTTTCTTTGAAATTGCATTGTCAAATTGGGAAGATTTGATGTTAAAAACTTCCCTTTGCACAAAATAACTCACTTGGTATCTGAAAAGATGAGTTCTGGTTGTGTGTGTGTTTGACATAGAAAATTTTGAGAAAAATACAAGTAGGATGGAAAAAGTACTTGGTAAGTAGTAGTAACGAACTCAAAATATTTTTACTCCAGAGACATGTTCTCTCCAGCACAGACAGATCTTTTGGGGAACATATATGAAAGTGGATTAAGTTTGACTAACCTGATCTAAACCACATCTAGGATAGTTACAGAAAGTTTGACTAACCTGATCTAAACCACATCTAGGATAGTTACAGAAAGTTTGACTAACCTGATCTAAACCACATCTAGGATAGTTACAGAAAGTTTGACTAACCTGATCTAAACCACATCTAGGATAGTTACAGAAAGTTTGACTAACCTGATCTAAACCACATCTAGGATAGTTACAGAAAGTTTGACTAACCTGATCTAAACCACATCTAGGGTAGTTACAGAAAGTTTGACTAACCTGATCTAAACCACATCTAGGATAGTTACAGAAAGTTTGACTAACCTGATCTAAACCACATCTAGGGTAGTTACAGAAAGTTTGACTAACCTGATCTAAACCACATCTAGGATAGTTACAGAAAGTTTGACTAACCTGATCTAAACCACATCTAGGGTAGTTACAGAAAGTTTGACTAACCTGATCTAAACCACATCTAGGATAGTTACAGAAAGTTTGACTAACCTGATCTAAACCACATCTAGGGTAGTTACAGAAAGTTTGACTAACCTGATCTAAACCACATCTAGGATAGTTACAGAAAGTTTGACTAACCTGATCTAAACCACATCTAGGATAGTTACAGAAAGTTTGACTAACCTGATCTAAACCACATCTAGGATAGTTACAGAAAGTTTGACTAACCTGGTCTAAACCACATCTAGGATAGTTACAGAAAGTTTGACTAACCTGATCTAAACCACATCTAGGATAGTTACAGAAAGTTTGACTAACCTGATCTAAACCACGTCTAGGATAGTTACAGAAAGTTTGACTAACCTGATCTAAACCACGTCTAGGATAGTTACAGAAAGTTTGGTCTCAAGGTTTATTTGCAGGATCTAGCAGATCAACTTTTGCAAAGTCCTGTACGAGTGTATTAGTATCAGAATCATGAATAAATGGGAGAGTTTTACATGTACACTAATTGATACTTTCTCAGTGTTTTCTCTACTTCTCCCAGAATTTTTTGTAAACCCAACTAGTTGATTTGCAGAGTTTTAGTCATTCTTCAACAATTTTTAAAAATTTAGTTTGTAGACTCCATTTGGTAAGGAAATTAGTATCATAAGTGTAATGTTAAAATGTTAAATAGAAAAAGAGATCCACTAATATAGCTTATGGTTATTAGATTTGGGCTACTTTTAATCATGGAATAATAATGTTTGTATTGGTGTAAGATTCGATGACTTTAGCTGTATGAATAGTCATACTGCAAACATTTTGCATCCCTTTTGTGACCTTACATTTAAAATTGTGTTGCAATTATGCTTTGCTGTTTAATAAAATGCTATTTCAGAGATTGTCTGTGTTTTGATATTGTTGGCTAAGTAATCAGGGTGTGTGTATATATAGTGGTGTAGCAGCATATCCAGGGTTATTCAAAGTGAAGGATAAGTAGCATATCTTATTACTGGATGTTTAGGGGAATACTAGTTTTATTAAAACAAATGTTACAGGATATTATACATTAATTTTAAAAATAAAAGAATTCAAACAAGGATCCAAGATTGCAAGGGGAAAGGTGGGTTGTACTTTTTAGGTTACACTAAGCTCTGGAAACAAGAGATGCAGTGATAAAGAATATAAAATAATATAAAAGTTTCCCTCCCAACTAAAAGTTATGGGGTGAGCACTGCAAGCTAGCAGGCTTTGTTCCACATAATCATTCAGGGACTTGAGGATGGCTTTGCCATTTTCAACCGTGGCTTCCAAGTCACTCTAATTATCATTATTCTCATTTGCAGGAAAAGTACATGGAGAACATATGCAAGGTTTTAAGTGTTGGGCCTGCCTAGAAATGGCTCATAGGTTTTCTCACGTTCCAGCGGTGTGGAGACTTAGTTACATCTAGATGCAAGAGGAGCTGAGAAATGTAGTCCCTGGCTGGAAGGCATATTCCAGCTACAACTTTATTAATATGGAAGCAGAGGATTTTGGTGGCAACTAGCAGCCTCAGTTGCAGTCCTCTTCTCTTGCTATTAAATATCTGTGTACAACCTTCTTCACACACAGAACATACTCAACCCCTCCTCATCCCATTACTGATTCAGCTGAACATCCAGGATCTCTATCAAGGTCCATCAGTTGTAGATGTGGCTTCTAATAGTCTTATGACCTCAAAACTGATGAGCAAATTATTTGCTCTCACCCTCACCTCTGCCCATTTATAGTGGGGTAGTGAGGACGGGATACCCAAATAAAAACTCTCAATTTGGAAAATGGAATAAGGGAAAACACTTACTGATTCAAAGCAGTTGTGGAATACTCCTAGGAGACCCCGTGAATATTCTGTCCCTGGTAGTGGAGAGGGTCCTTAATTAGACCTTGATTCTGATCTCTGGCAAAGGACTCCCCTTGTCCATTGCCATCCATGGCTTCTCTCTGGAAAGTTATTCCTTATCCAATTCCCCCACGGCTCTGACTGAAGTAGAGGTTGGGAGTGTGCCCTTCCTGGGAGTTGTGAGGACTGCACTTCTTGCTGGTGTGAGCTTGGTACCCATCACTTTAAGGCCAAGCTCAAATTTCTTAGGTAGTACAATTCCCTCAAAAACTCAGCCTTCTGGTCTCTATGCTTCTGGTTCCATATGCTAGGAACCATCATCAAGCTCTTTCTAGACTAAATTCTCAAAGTATGCTTTCTTTGTTCCTTCCTCACAGGGCCCTGCCTCTCTCTAACAGAGGCTACCTTGAAACCCAACTGAAAATAAGACTGCACTGGGAATGCTATGCCCAAATTACCACTGCAGAGGTGGGTCCCTGTGTTGGCTTAACAGCTGGCAGAGAAGTCTTACTGGGCTTCCCCCTCCACTTCCCACACCTCAAAAATAAAGCAATTTTGAACCTTTTCAGCTATTCAGGGTACAGCAGCAACTTGCTTTTCTAATCCTGTGTGTGAGGTCCTAATACCTGATCTTTCTCTACTCCCTTCCATCTCTGCTTGGAAACTGGTAACTTCTTTCTTGTGATACCTTGCTAAAAGCATCAAGAAACAGCCAATTCATTTCATATTCTGGGTTTTCCAACAGCTACCCCTAGAGCTTCAACTCAGTAGTGACAAAATGTTACCTGAAATACATGCCCCACCATCTGCTTGTCGTGTAAATGGTAAACCAGTGCCACATATTTTGTATTCATATGGCAGTCTCTCATTTCAGGGTATCAACTTCTATATTAGAAATATACGAGGTGGACAGTGTGCACAGGGGCTGTGCCTAGCTTCTGACAAAGACTCTCTTTGACCAAACTTTAGCTAGGCAACTGAGCCCTCTTTTCAACTAGGCCTCATCTTAGGTCCTGTCTTTGGCCTGCCTAGTCCAGCTTTAGCAAGAATCCTGCTAAGTCAGTTTAGCAAGCATCCCCCTACCCTTAATGTCTTCTCTTCATAATTTTCCATCCGCCAAACCCCACCCCCTGCTCATTGACTATAAATTCCCAGTTGTCTTTGTTGTATTCAGAGTTGAGACCGATCTCTCCCTGCTAGTGCAACAGTATTGGCACCTATTATTAACACTCATGAATAAAGTTCCTAACTGTTTTAACAAGTGTCACAATAATTTTTTCTTTAGTACTTACTAGCTCTAAATGCTGGTGGAATGATGACTGGCAGGGAAAATTGGCATACCCCTTTTCCTTAGGGTCCCCCAGTAGGACTTCCATCAATACTGACACGTACTAGCATTCCATCCAAAATCTGTCCTCTTCATATTCCCTTTGGACTTTACTTATAGCAAGTTACTATCAATCATAATTCCCTATCTGCACCTCTTGGGACCAGTTCCAGAATTTGGAATTTTTCACATTTCAGAAAACATTCATATGGTTTGGGGCAGCACCTGTAATCAAACTGTTAACATTTTTGTAGCAAAATATGCATTTAATACTAAATGTGATAACTAAAGACTATATAAAAGCCTGTAAGCGAGGTCAGGTTTGGCTGCCAAATGAGTTTTGGTGTGAAACATGAAAAAACTTGATTTTCAAAGATTTTTGGAATTTGGAATTGTATGTGTAGCAACAAAACATTTTGTAGAAAAGTAACCAAAATCATCTGAGCATGTCGTTCCTACCAGTTTATAATGTCACATTTCTATTCCTGTCCATTAACTCTTCCTCTGATCTAGTCCCTTTTCCAAAAGAAAAAGGAGAAATTAATTATAGAATCTAGAATTAATTTTGTGGTCCAAAGCAAAGCAAAATTGATTCTTTACTCTTTAAGATGTGAAGCATTTCTTTGCTTTCCCCGGTAATTTTGTTTTCCCCTATCATGAGTGAACACCCTCTAGTGGTTGTCCTCAGATATTTCTTCAATGCTGATATACAAAATACCAGCAAAAGACCAGAGATTAGTTAAAACCACCTTTACTTTAGTAAAGACCATCTGTAAATCATGAAACAATAGAGAATGTGATTACATGAAAGGTTAAGGATTGGAAGAGAGAATGACTTAATTGCCTCTTAGCTACTCTATCGGAAGAACAAGCTACAGTTTATTCACTTAAATCATACAGATTAGTAGTATTTAAAGACAAATTTGCAAAAAAACAAGGACTTTGTGTTGGCCTTTGGACTGAATTTACCTTATATTGGAAGGAGGTGCTGACATGATGGCAGAAGCTAAAGTGATACATTATAATCAACTGTATAATGTATTTACCTTGTTTTAAGTTTTATATATGATTTATAGATGGCTTATCAAATGTTTAGTCTAAGTTATTAAAACTTGAAAATACTCCCCAATTTTACAAAGAATGTAAAATTGTGTTCATTTAACAAGCACAAAATATGTGCTAAGACACTGCAGGAGGTGTTAAAAGGTCATTTTCTAATTATCCTGTTGCCCATCTTCTATAAAACTACCACTGCTCTTCCATGCATTTAGATGTCTGAAGACAAGCTCCAAATGCATCCCCAATATATTTTCTCTCCCATCAACCTACCCCATCTCCCTGTCAGATCAGGGATAATTTTATTTCCTAAACTCCTCACAGCTGTCACACTACGGACATGCATGGGAGCTATAATTTGGGAAGAGATTGTTAAAATTTATGTAGAAATGCTAGTGTGTTTTAATAAATCAAATACATCAGAGATGTAAGTAGTTGTCTGATAATAGCCATCTAATTCTTCATGTATAAAACCTGCTAAAGTTAAAACATATAGCCACAATTGAAAAGAGAATGAAAAAACTTCATAGAGGCCTGACCTGTAATATATCTATGTCTTAACTATTCTGAATAGTTTCCACCAAATACAAAACCATTTTTGGATTACTGTTCTAAATTTCTAAGGTATATTCAATTAATTGCTAGTGGTTAATTTTAACATATAAGTAGTTCCATCCTGTGTCTCTTGCAAATGTGGACTGACACTTCAAAAAGGCTACTAATTCTAGTAATATGTCTTTCTAGAGAAATGATCAGTGGAAGAAAGGCTATCTTAAAAAAATCTTCAAGAATAAGGAAGCCACTTTAGCCTGGTCAAGTTAAAAAGCCTCTAAAAAGTCCAACTAAAACAAAACCAAAATGCATTTATTTTCTCCTTAATTAGAGAAAAGGATAAAATTTAAGTCATTTTAAACAATAAAGTATTAGGAGAGTAAAAGGAAAAAAGCCATCTTGTTACTAAGGAAGACTCTGTACTTTGTCTACTGCATGGATCTAACACACCTATTTGGAAGAGTTTACGTTTTGGTTAAACCTATCAGCCTGGGTCCATCCACAGAGGGCATATCCACAAGAAGTAGCCGTGAGCTGGCAAAACTGGTTGCTCAGATTTTCCCATGCAAGCTCATGTAGTTTAACCAAACGTTAATGTTAAAATGAATCTGCAACCAAGAAAGCAGAAAAAGCTTTAATATATCTTTAGAAAAACTCTTCACATACAAGACACTCGTCAGGCAAGAAGGTTTCCACAAAATTAAGAAAGGATTATCTCCTGAAGTAGCAGTTTACCACCAGAAACATTCTCACCTAGAATCATTCAGCATGTCTAGTTCATTTGGACATTCCAAATACACAGCAAGAAAGGGAGACCTTGCAAGATGTGTTAAGTTCAGTTAGTATTACATACAAAGTATGGTTAACTATGTAGTATTAAGATTTTCCACCACCAATTTATGAAAGTTCAGCTCACAGCAATGGAATAAAGCACTACTTGCATTTTCAATTCACTCTCTGAAATAAAGAGTGAATTGTATTACTGGCTACGTTTGGGCTCATTTTCTTTATATATACCCTCTAAATATATTATTGGGGTGGAGGTGAATGGGGAACTTGGTTGGGGCTTGCCCAAGGATGGGTGT